TTTATTTTAATTTTATATATATTTTAAATATAATAAATTAATATATAAAAAATATATAATATATATACACTTTGGGGGGGTTTTTTTTATGTATTTTTTAACTATATATAATTTTTTTTTACAAACTTCTGCCTCAGTGCATCATCATTCAGTATCTGCAGCTGTTGATTGGTGTTACTTAATTCTTAATTTGTTCTTCATTACAAAACAAATATAGCACCATACAATATGATCTTATTTAGCTGCTCGCTGAATGATCTGCAGGTTTAGTATCAAGAATAGTGCATAATATTAATTCTGTTGTAGTGCTGTATCTTGCTGCTGCTGCTGCAGGCTTAATATACACTTGTTCTTCAAGCAGGACAAAACTTGAGTTAATGAGTGACTAAAGAAACTACATATTTTACTCTTTGGGCTTTATTTTAGAAGAGGTAGGCTATGTACCAAAAGCTGATTAATGTGGATTGCATTTACTGATAAGGCTAATGAAAAAAAAAACATTTGTAAAGCCACTTAATATTGAGTGGCTTTAGAGAAAGGGCTTTTAGTATTTTGCTGTCGGCTGAACTGTGCTTTGGTCACTTAAGTTATGTTTCTGTTTTAAAAGCAAGTGTGCCAGGCATTTAATAATTGGTTGTACTTTACTTAACAGTTACTAAGTTGTTGTTCTTGGCTGTCTTGTACTGTTTATGGAATTGCCACTTCATCTGTAGTGCACGTTCATCATTCCTGCACTTTTTACCAAACAAACACTATTGGAATTCTGTGATGACTGAATTAAATTGCTGGTAATAAATTACAAAAATAATAAACTACTGTGTACTAACCTTCAAAACTATCTTGGTCTGCCAGTTATCACTTAGTAGAAAAGGTGCACACCTCACTCCACAAAAAATATAGTATCTTTAAAAGCATACTAGCATAAATATGCTAGTATACTTTTTCTTTCTTTCTTTCAACACACTGGCCGTATCCCACCGAGGCAGGGTGGCCCAAAAGGAAAAACGAAAGTTTCTCCTTTTACATTTAGTAATATATACAGGAGAAGGGGTTACTAGCCCCTTGCTCCCGGCATTTTAGTCGCCTCTTACGACATGCATGGGTTACGGAGGAAGAATTCTGTTCCACTTCCCCATGGAGGAGTATGCTTTTTATATATGATTTTTAAATATTCTGTATATAATTTGTAAAGATGCCAGTACACACTAACACAGCAATTGTGACAAATTCTTAAAATTATACAGGTATTCATACTAGGTAGGGTGACTCCAAACGTGGAAATACACTGACATCATTCATTCAGTAGCTGTCTTGCAAACATAATAGCTCGTAGTGCAGTGGAGAACAACATGATGTTCAATAGTGATAAATTCCAGCTGCTTAGGTATGGAAAGAATGAAGAATTCAAAAGGAACACTATATACAAAACTCAAGAGGGTCACCAAATAGAACGAAAAGAACACGTAAAAGACCTGGGAATAATTAAGTCAGCTGACCTTTCTTTTAAAGACCATAACAAGACGAGGATCACGACAGCCAGTATGGTGATAGGGTTGGTATTGAGAGCTTTCAAAACAAGGGAAATAATGTCGATGGTGACAATCTTCAAATCGCTAGTGCTCCCTCATTTAGAATATTGCTCAGTGCTGATGGCCCCATTCAAAGTAGGAGAAATATCAGAGCTGGAACAAATACAGAGATCATTTACAGCTCAGGTTGAGCCAGTAAAGCATCTAAATTGCTGGGAATGCCTTGAAGTCTTAAATATGTACTCATTGGAGTGGAGGAGAGAGAGATACATGATAATACAGGGTGTCCACAATAACACTTCCTGATTTCAAACAGGTATAACATGTAACTTTATTGTAATAATCTTTCATAGTTAGGAGCTTCAGATGCAGGATTTCGTTCAGTTTCATGTGGTATAGGGTAGCATTAAAGGCACTCAATGTGCGCCCCTCTGGTTGCTCGGCAAACATCGACCAGATGCTCTGCAGCATATCTTGAGTTATCATGCAAACTGCTTCAGTTATCGAAATTTTCAGCTCCTCCTGGATTGCAGGTAGCAGTGGTACGTAAACTGTGCTCTTCACGTACCCCCAAAGAAAGAAGTCAAAAACAGTTAAGTCCGGTGCTCTGACTATTTGTTTTCTCTGTTACACACAAACATCTCTCTCTATCTGTCTGTAGCTCTGTTTATCTGTCTCTGCTTATCTACCTTTCTGTCTCTCTCTCTGTCTCAGAGAGAGCCACTTGTGAACCAACAGGTATTACACACGACACAGTCATCATGTCTCATTCCTGAACAAGTAAAATACGTATTACTCGCCAGTCATGCTTACTATGCATTATATCTACAAGCACAGTATAGCACTTTGTCTGGATTTTTTGGGTTATCATAGGTAATTTACACTATAATTATATGTGCCTATGAGACAGACAGATGTAGATACAGACAGAAAGATGGAAATAGAGACAGCCAGTCAGCCAGCCAGCCTGCCGAACACACATTACACGTTCCAGAATTTTCTGTTTACTTAGGGCATAGGTTATAAGACATTCTGGCTGGATAACACTACCAGTGGTACCAAAATTGAAGAGGTGTTGCACAAATGTTGCACATGGTTTATTATCGAGGTTTTTTATATTTCCTCGACCACTTGTGGCCACATCCACCTCAAAGCCACTAAACTTGGGGTCAACATTACTTTCCTCTTAAAATGGGAGTGTTAATACTACATGACATCAGTGAATCCCAGTTGTTTGCCATGCTGTTTGCTCTAGTTGGCGCTCAATTGAAGTGGTGCTCCCACAAGGTACTAAGTGGTCCCAGTTTTTTTTTTAATACTGTCACCCGAGTGTTAAGCCCCATTCTGTGCTGACCAGCTTCAGCCAACTGCCAATTTTGGAGGCAGGAAAAAAAAACATAGACTACTTTTGGAGGCTAGGGGTAAAAAACGAAAATCTTTTTGGACAGTTAAGGGTTAAGGAGAAATTTTAAAGCTAAGCCTTTAACCCCTTGATGTTTCGTTGTAATATATGTCTTACGAGCCCCGGTTTGATGTATATATACAGGGGCCCCCCTCGTTTTGTTTTAATCCATTCCTGGGTTCACATACAAAATCTACGATTTGCGAATCAATTTTCCCCAAAGAAATAATGTAAAACAATAACCGTTCCTGACACCCATAAGTATTTAAAAAAAAAAATTTTTTAATTTAAATATCTTAAACTAAACAATACAATGGAAATGATGAATGAAACTTTCACAAACACTTACCCTTTATTGGATTTCTTTTTGTGTATGGGGGCTGGAGGGGAGAAGGGTTGGGTTGTTTACAGTTTTTGGAAGGGGAAACCCCTTCCCTCAACCCTCAGGGACCAAATTGCTTTTTTGGGGTTGCTTCTCTTCTCTGTTTCTTAATGCCACTAGGGCCACCTTTAGAGTCCTGGTTTTTTCTCGCAAAATAACTGTGGAAGAGCTCTGTTCTGGGGTCCCCCTTTAAACCCTTTGGGCGACAGGCCCCCCGAAAATCGTTTTCAGGGGCGGGCCAAATTTAAAAAAAAAAAAAAATTTTTTTCTCTTAGAAAAGATAGAGAATCTTTCCCCGATCAAAAAGACACCAAAATTTTTAAATTTTATAAAAACTTTCGGAAAAATGCCCGCAAAATTAGCGGTCTCGGCGATGTTTACGCACGCGATTTTTCCCACTTTGAGCCCCATTTCGACCAATTCCTGTACAGTCGACAAAAAACAGAATATTTCGCTGAACTCCATTTTTTTTTATCGAATGGGGGCAAGAAAACCACCATTTTAAAGAAATTCAAATATCCATACGTGGTCAGAAATTTAGCAATTTTGCCCAATTTTACACAAATTTTTTAAAGATGCCAATTTCCAAAAGGGGCCGAATAAACAAAAAGACATTCCCGGCACAAAAAACATTTTCCCCGGTCATTAGTCACTCTCAAGGCCCCTCTTATATTTTTTTGCTTTCCACTTTGAATTTTTTTTTTTCCAAAAAATATAAGTTTACTTTTTTCAGACTACTGCATTATGTAAAAAATGGTATAAATATTTTTGGGGCCTTGTGAAAGAAAAATTAACCACCAGGACTGTTTGCACCCTTGGGCCGTTTGTTTACTTTTGAAGTTTGGTAAAAAAACAACATTTCTGCTACTTTTACTCAATTTTTAAGGCACCTTTTTTTGAAAACCCCAAAAACAACTCAATTTCTGTAATATGTCTTCCTTCTAAAAATGAACCAAAAAAACTAAATACAACAATAAATACCATACGAAAATACCTGCAAAATCGCGATTTATAAAAAAAAAAAGGTCAAATTTTTTTTTTTCTCATTATGCACGTGTGCTGCGGGTTTTTTTTAGACGTGCACACGACCACAAGAACCATCTTCATATGAAGGACTACCAGCTTTCTCCCCTAGATTTGGGCCGAAAATTTTATGATACTATACGTAAAAAACCCCACCGAAAGACTACAGTACGACAAAACCCTCAAAGGTAAGGGATCCCTCGGGCAATTTCCGCGCGTGCTCGACAAAATTAAAAAATTTATGGAAATTGAGTTTTTAACCAAGAAAAACTTAACTCTTTGGCAACACAAGGTACCAGAATAAATGTTCTACGATTTTTCTACAAGAATTACAGTCTTTATATAGGTAAGGTGACGGTTTTGGGTAGAAAGCCCACACCCAATATATTTTGGGAAATTTTCCTTTTTTTTATCGCTTTTTTTTTGCATTATACTTCTAATAAAAACTGCTATTTGGGATCATAAACTGAAGGCAGACTTATCCCTAATTTTGCAAAAATCTTTTAACTATATGCGCGGAAGGGTTCCGCCCAGGGGAAACACTTCATTTTTACCCTTTATCAGCTTTTTTACAAAATCTACACTTATTTATCTTTCAAAGACATATGATTAAAAAACACTCAAATAATATCAAACTTTTTTATTCTAGCGAAAAAAATAGGCCATAATATGGCGAATTTTCGGGAATATTTCGAAATATTTTAGTTTCTCCCTTTCCGGTCGTATTCTTTTGTCTCTGATAAGAGGGAAAAAGGGGGTTTTTTGAAGGATAACTGCACTAGAACTCAGTTTACTAAGAAAAACACCCAACAAACCATTTTTTTCGAAAAAAATTTTTTTTTTTGAGACAGGGCCCGGCCGGCGTTCAGGCCCATTCTCGGGGTGAATTATTTACCTAAGTACCTATTTTTGCATTTATTACTTTAATTAAAAAGGAATAATATTCACAGAAATTGAAATAAGACCTAATTTTTAAAAGCTAATTTGGAAATATTCCAAATACTTTCGGGGTTTTTGTGGGGGTAAAGGCAATTTTTTGCAATATTCCAGGAACTAAAAAAAATTTATTTTTTTTGTAAAAAAAGAAACGTTTTTTAGAAAAAAGGGTTTATAAAAAACGTATAAGCATTGCCTCTCGGCCCAATGTCCAAACAACCTTACATGTCCCAAAAGGAAAAAATTTTTACACAAGGGGATTTTCAGCAAATCATCTTTTCTCATTTTTGTTTGAGGTATTTTTTGATAAAAATTTTTTGAGAATGATGAAAACACTTTTTTCCTTTTTCCCAAAACTGAGGAAATCAACGGGAAACAAAAAGCTCATTTTTTTGGCCCAGGGGCCCTTAATTCCCCAAAATGGGGCCCAAAACTTTTTCACGTACGTTGCCAAAAGGCTTGCAACAACCCTTGTCAGGGGGAGTTTCTCCAAAAAGCTTTCCATCTTACCCCACATAACAAAAATCTCTTTAATTTCTGAAGAAGGCACCTTCTTCCATCTCTCCTCCTCCTCCTCCTCCTCCTCCTCCTCCTCCTCCTCTGCAGCAAGATTCTGAGCTGTGATCTGTTGCTGTTCCTGCTGAAGCTCTTGCAGGTCCTCAGTGGTGAGCTCTTCGTTGTGGTCTTCCACCAATTCTTCCACATCCTCTAAACTCTCATCCAACCCCATGGAACTCCCCAGTGCCACAATTGATTTAACAACAGACACAGGCTCATCAGGGTCAGTCCCAAACCCTTCAAATTCCCTCTTGTCAACACAATCTGGCCACAATTTTCTCCAAGCAGAGTTCAAAGTCCTGGTAGTCACTCCCTCCCAAGCCATACCTATAAGGGTTATGCAATGGAGGATGCTGAAGTGTTCTCTCCAAAATTCCCTTATGGTCAAGTGAGTGTCTGTGGTCACAGTCAAGCACCTGTGAAACATTGCTTTGGTGTAGAATTTTTTAAAGTTTGCAATGACCTGCTGGTCCATGGGCTGGAGGAGAGGAGTGGTATTCGGGGGCAAGAACTTTATTGTGATGAACCCAAACTCCTCGAAAATTAGGTCATCCAAGTTTGGAGGATGAGCAGGTGCATTGTCCATTACTAGCAGGCACTTGAGATCCAATTTCTTTTCCAGGGCCAAACACTTCATTGAACCACTCGACGAAAATTTCCCTCATGACCCATGCCTTACTATTAGATTTCCAAAACACACAATTTACTCTTCATAACATTGTTTTTCCTGAACACTCTGGGATTTTCAGAATGGTACACTAGTAATGGCTTCACTTTGAAATCCCCACTAGCATTAGCACAGAACATGAGCGTCAGCCTGTCTTTCATAGGCTTGTGTCCTGGCATTGCCTTTTCCTCCTGTGTAATGAAGGTCCTCTTTGGCATTTTCTTCCAAAAGAGGCCTGTTTCATCACAATTGAACACTTGTTCAGGTTTCAGTCCTTCACTGTTTATGTACTCCTTGAATTCATGCTCATATTTTTCAGCCGCCTTGTGGTCCGAACTGGCAGCCTCACCATGCCTTACCACACTGTGTATGCCAGTACGGTTCTTAAATCTCTCAAACCAACCTTTGCTGGCCTTAAATTCACTCACATCACCACTATTTTCAGACAATTTCTTTACCAGATCGTTGTGCAACTGCCTAGCCTTTTCACAAATAATCGAAGTCATAAGAATATCTCCTGCTAATTGTTTCTCATTTATCCACACCAATAATAGCTTCTCAACCTCTTCGAGTACTGGTGATCTCATTTTTGTCATCATAGTTACCCCCTTTGCAACAACAGCA